ATCACCGGCACCCCAAACCCCGGTTCCTGGAGACCGGCTGCGGTGGTGACGTCATAACTGTCACCGCGAGCCCCGGCACCGGCACCGCGATGTTGTAACCGGCACCGGCATCCCCGAAACTGGCACCGGGACCCCCCCAAAGTCGGTCGCAGGATCCTGTCGCCGACACCGGCACCCCCAGGGTTGTCACCTGCTGTCACTTCAGGTACCTGTCACCCCCCCCGTGTGTCCCCTTGTCCCCCCCTGTCCCTCCTGGGGTCCCCTCTGTCCCCTGGTCCCTCCTCGGGGTCCCTCGTGTCCCCCCCGGCCCCTCCCCACCATCTCCCCATGTCCCCTGTGCGTCCCCTCATCCCTCCTGGTGTCCCCTCACGTCCCCTCCGTGTCCCCCCGTCCCTCCTGGGGACTTCTGTCCCCTCCATGTCCCCTCATCCCTCCTGGTGTCCCCTCACATCCTCCCTTCCCTCCTGGGGTCCCCCGTGTCCCCTCCATGTCCCCCTGTCCCTCCTGGGGTCCCCTGTGTCCTCTCCGTGTGTCCCCTTCTGTCCCCCCATGTCTCCTCCATGTCCCCCTGTCCCTCCTGGGGTCCTTTCTGTCCCCCCTATGTCCCCTCATTCTCCCTGGGGTCCCCTGTCCCCCCCCAGTGTCCCCTCCACATCCCCCCGGTGGCCTTTCTCCCTCCCCCAGGGATGTCCCGTGTCCCCGTGCCACCCCCAGTGACGTCCCCGTCCCCTCTGTCCCCCCAGGTCCCTGCCCATGGCCGAGGGGTGCTCGCACGCCGTCCCCCCGCGTCCCCTCCCCGGGGAGGTGACGGCCACCCCCGGGGACGTCACCACGGACCCCGAACCTGCATGGGGACAGGCTGGAGGCGTCCCCGAGGGGGAAGGTGACAGCGGTGTCCCCATGGACACTGTCACCGTCACCCCCTGGGCCAGCGGCATCACCATCACCGTCACAGCGGCCCCGGCGGACGAGGACACCGGGGACTTTGGGGACGAGGACGTCCCGGGCTTCGGGGACGAGGACATCGGGGACGGGGACGTCCCGGTGACAAGTGACGCGGGGCGTGGGGCCGTCCCAGTCGTATGTGACAAGGACATTGAGGACAGGGATGTCACCACCCCAAAGGACGTTGGGGGCAGGGATGTCCCAGCCCCTGCAGACAAGGCTGTCCCGGCTCTAAGGGACATTGGGGACAGGGACATTGTGACCCCAAGGGACGTTGGAGACCGGGATGGTCCAGCCCTTCTGGACAAGGACACTGGGGACAAGGATGTCACGGCCGTAAGGGACAGTGGGGACAGGGATGTCCCGGTTCCTGGGGACAAGGATGTCACCACCCTGAGGGACGTTGGGGACAGGGATGTCCCAACCCTAAGGGACGTTGGGGACAGGGATGTCACCACCCTGAGGGACGTTGGGGACAGGGATGTCCCAACCCTAAGGGACGTTGGGGACAGGGATGTCCCAGCCCATCTGGTCAAGGATGTTGGGGACAGGGATGTCCCCACCCTAAGGGACAAAGAGATTGGGGACAAGGATATCGCCACCCTAAGGGACACTGGGGACAAGGATGTCCCAGTTCCTGGGAACAAGGACATTTGGGACAGGGATGTCACCACCCTAAGGGACAAGGAGAGTGGGGACAGGGATGTCACCACCCTAAGGGACACTGGGGACAAGGATGTCTCAGCTCTAAGGGACATCAGGAATGGAAATGTCCCAGCCCCAGGGGACGTTGGGGACAAGAAAACTGGGGACACACAGGTCTCGGTCGTCAGGGACGTTGGGGACAAGGACGTTGGGGACAAGGACGTCCCAGCTCCACAGGAGCCGGGGGCCACTTGGGTCAAGGATTTTGGGGACACACAGGTCTCGGGCCTGAGGGATGTTGGGGACGCTGGGGACAGGGGTGTCACCACCCCAAGAGATGTTGGGGACAAGGACATTGGGGACAGGGATGTCCCAGCCCTTGGGGACACTGGGGACAAGGACATCGGGGAGCTCCCAGCCCTCGGGGACGCTGGGGACAGGGATGTCCCAGTCCTTGGGGACGTTAGGGCCATCCCCGGCTCTGGGGACAAGGACATGGGGGACAGGGATGTCACCACCCTAAAGGACCCTGGGGACAGGGATGTCCCCATCCCAGGGGACATTGGGGACATCCCGGTCTCCGGGGAGGGGGACAGGGACATCGCTGTCCCGAGGGACGTTGGGGACGTTGGAGGTAAGGACCTTGGGGACAGGGACATTGGGGATGGGGACGTCGGGGCCGCGGATGTCACAGCCCCAGGGGACGTTGGGGACAAGGACAGGGAGAAGGACAGTGACATCACAGCCCTGGGGGACGTTGGGGACAAGGGCAGTGACGTCACAGCCCCAGGGGACGTTGGGGACATCCCACCTGGGAGGCACAGGCAGAGCAGCAGGAGCCCGAGGGCGGAGGGCAGCCGCGGACTGGCCATGGCTGGGGACAGCGGGGACAGCGGGGACAGCGGGGAAGGACCTTAAGTAGGGTGCAGGTGGGGTGGGGCACCCCGGGGTGCCAGCGCCCGGGGAGGGGACGGCGGGGAGGGGGCCGAGGCCGGGCCCCGCCCGCACTCAGCCACTGAGTCACCGGGATTGACCCGCTTGGCCGGGCCGCCGGCCGCCTGCGTCCCCTCTGGGTGGGTGGGGGGCACCCGGCCGCCTGGGTCCCCTCTGGAGGGGTGGGGGGGACCCAGACGCCTGGGTCCCTTCCTGGGTGGGTTTGGGGACACCCAGACGCCGATGTCACAGCCCTGAGGGACGCTGGGGACAAGGGCAGCGACGTCACAGCCCCAGGGGACGTTGGGGGCAAGGACAGGGAGAAGGACAGTGACGTCACAGCCCCGGGGGGCGTTGGGGACAAGGGCAGTGACGTCACAGCTGCGGGGGACGCGGGGGACGGGGGCGTTGGGGACACCTGCGCCGCCGGTGGCATCACCATCACGGTGACGGCCCCCCCCGTGGAGGACGAGGGCGTCCCCAGCGGGGATGAGGACGTCCCCAGCGATGACGTTGCCGCTGATGTCACCACTGCCCTCCCCGGGGAGCGCGGCCCTTGTGACGTCGTGGAGAGCGGCGACATCACAGCCGCCCGCCCCGGTGATGTCACTGCAGGGGGTGACGTCCCCTCCGCTCTCCCTGGGGATGTCCCCGCTGGCGACGTCACCAGGGATGACATCGTTTTCTCCCTCCCTGGTGATGTCACGGCTGAGGATGATGTCGCTTCCTCAGTCCCTGGGGATGACATCATCGTTGACCTCATCGACAGAGGGAACATCACTTCCTTTCTCCCTGAGGAAGCCCTCGCTGGTGATGTCATCACCAAGACTGATGTCATTTCGTCCCTTCCTGGGGATGACATTGCTGGTGGCGTCATCCCTGGGAATGACCTCACTGGTGACATCATCGCTGGGGACATCTTTGCTGGTGGAATAATCACCACGCACGATGTCACTTCCTCCCTTCCTGGGGATGAGCTTGCTGGTGACGTCATGCCCAGAAATGACCTCCCTGATGACATCATCAGCAGGGACAGCATCCCTTCCGCCCTCGGCGCTGATGATGTCATCTCCAGCCACGATCTTACTCCCTCCCTTCCTGGGGATGACCTTGCTGTTGACATCATCCCTGGAAGTGACCTCACTAATGACATTATCGCAGGGGAAGACATTACCTTTTCTGTACCTGGGGATATCCCTGCTGGTGACATCATTGCCATGGATGATGTCACTTCCTCTCTGCCGGGAGACATTGCTGGCCAAGAAGTCAAACCTGCTGGTGACCTCACTGGTGACGTCATCTGTGTGAACGATGGTGATACCTCCGCTTGGAATGACTTCGCTGATGATGTCATGCCTGAGGATGACATCACTTCCTTCATCCCCAGTGGTATTACTAGACATGACATCACTCCCAAGGGTGATGTCCGAGATGATGTCACGCGGGGATCTGACCTTGATGACATCATTGGTGGTGACGTCACCTCCTCCCTTCCGGGAGCCCTCTCTGGCCGTGATGTCAGCCCCGAGGATGACGTCACTGGTGACATCAGGCCTGGAGAGGAGCAACCCGCCACGGTCCTTAAAGAACCCATCCGCCCGGGCGATGACCTCACTGATGACATCACCACTGACGTGCCCAGAGAGGGTGTTGGCAGCCAAGGTGATGCCCCAGGTAAGAGGGGAGGCGGAGCCAAGTGCTGGGGGCGGGGCCTGAAGGCTGGGGGCGGGGCCACAGCCAGAGGGTGTGGCTATGAGTAAGTGGGCGGGGCCAAGGGGCTCAGGTGGGGCTCCGGGGCTG